CCCTCACACACACACTCACTCACGCACACACGCACGCACTCACACACACACACACTCACACGCACGCACGCACACACTCACTCACACACACACACACACACACGCACACACACACTCGTGTTTGTTTAGTGAGGACGTTACATAGACTCTCATTGCTTTTCTATCAGGTTAATGTTATTTTCTATCAGCTAACCAACCTCTACCTCTAAACTTACCCATCACAGAAACATGTGCAGAACACTAGATTTACATTTACATTTAATCATTGAGCAGACACTTTTATCCAAAGCGACTTACAAATGAGGAGAACAATCACACACACACACACACTCTCACACACACACACACACACACACACACACACTCATACACACACACACACACACACACTCATAAACACACACTCACTCACTCACTCACACACACACACACACTTTTGTTTTTGCAACTTATTGTTACAAATAAGTCTGTGTGGTGATCCAACATTATCAACAATTCAGCTGTACTGAAGTGTGTCTGAAACACCAATAGAAATATAATAGAAATGAGTTTAAGTTGGGATGAAGGGATTCCCAATCTTTTATACCCTTTGACCAGCAATATTATAGATTGAAATTTAGGTTATATTTCAGCAATTTAACAACACATTTGCATGTTCATCGTTCTCTGATGATTTTTTTAGTTTAATTGTGACACTGTTATTGTTATTACTGTAATTTTTTTTAGTTTTTTTTTTAGGTGTCTGTTTAGTTTTATAAAAGTTTACTTCAGTTTTAGTTTTAGCTGTTTTTGGTACATCAAGTTAAACTAAATGAAAATGAAAAATTGATTTGAGTTTATTTTATTTCAGGTAACACATTTTTTTATTTCTTCTAAAATCACATATTAATTTGACATTTTATGATTTAATTCATTGTTAGTGTTTAGATTTTTTATTTTAAAATAATTTATTTAAATATTAAACTTGATTTAATTATTTTTAGCTATTTTTTTAATATATTTTTTATTTTAATTTTGCATTTTTATGAATTAATTAAGGTTTAGTAAGTGTTTTATTTTATTGTTTTTATTTAAATTTCTTTTAATTTTACATGTTTATGAATTTTCTGTGTTTTATTAATTTTTAGAAGGTGTGTCATGTGCTGTGCTTTTGTTCAGTTTGACATGTTCGGTGAGTTGTTTTATATATTTGCCCCCGATCATGAGGATCTTGCTTCCTCCTGCTCTAGAGAACCATTCGTCGTGTAGTTTCATTCTCTTTCCACACTTCATGTGTTTGTACGTTAATTCTGTATAATTTGACTGACGTGATAATGAGTCTTTATTGATGGGCTTGTTTATCAGAGCTCAGTTCCCATCAGGCCAGTTAAGTGGTTTATTTTGGCGTAAACACTGAAGTGCTCCATTATTTCCTCTCTCTGGTTTTATCGCTTTGATTCGGTGTCAGCTGGATGTGTGCTGTGCATATTTTGCGGATTAGATTTGCTCTAATAAAAGCGCAGGCAGACGGAGAGGTCGCTCCGCTCTGGTTATTTGAGGACAGTCGGAGAGCTGGAGTCTAATGAGACTCGATGAAGGAACAGAATGTGAAGGTCTCACAGCTGAACTTCATCAGACACATTCAATGACACACTCGTTAAACAATCTCATCAGACGGACACTGACCGCTCGCGGGATCCTGGGATTAGGCAGGCACAATTATTTCAGACCCCTCAACAGGAAATGATGTCACGCTCTCAAGACGGCGCCGCTCACGTGGTCAAACATCAATTTCACGGGTCATTAGACTTGAACTTTAGTTCAGTAAGAGATGAAACTCCTTTCATATGTGTGTGTGAACCTGCAAAATAATTATGTTTAACAGCTAAATTTGTGGTGAAAACTACATTACCCATGATTCTGTGCAGAAAATTCCACCAATCAGAGAGTCACGGCATGCCAACAGTAAAAAATACAAAATGCATATTTGAAAAAATACAAAAATATTGGTAACACTTCACAATAAGGTCCCATTAGTTAACGTTAGTTAATTCATTAACCATCTCATTAACTATCATTAAGTAACAGTGTGTAATACATCTGTTTAATAATCACGAGTTAATAAAAATACAACTGTTCATTGTTAGTTCATGTCAGCTCTGGTCTATTAAATAATATTAGTAGATACAACTTTTTATTTTAATAATGTGGTAGTAAATGATAAAATTAACTAACTTAATATTAATAAGTGTTTTAGAAGTATTTGCCATTGTTAGTTCATGTCAACTAGTGTTAACAAATGGAACCTTATTGTAAAGTGTTACCAAAATATTTGTATATATATGCATATTTTGCAATAAACTTAAAATATATCTTTTCTATAGATACAATCAACTTTAAATTAATAGTTTAATATTTGACCATCGCTTTTAACTCAGTTAAATAATTTGCAATGCTTCATGGGATTGTAGTTTTTTTCCCCTCATTAAAGCTGTTAAGTTTCCAAATGCTTTTTTTTTTTGCTTCAAATCTAAGTTTATAATGTTGTCATTCTCTTTGAATCTCATTGGTTTGGTTCATGAATTCTATGTTTTAAATGAAGACTTTTTTTTCCCATCTCCATTGGAAAAATTAATGGGAAAAATATTTTGCAACCAACGTTGCTGAAGAAGTAGGCGGCACTAATGCAATCTATATTTCATGCTCCTGAAATCTCACCACTTAACTATTTCCACTTTGTTTCAAACACAGCAGTTAGTGTTTGTGAAGTGTGATGTACATGTCTGTGACGCTCTCTTCATGTGTCTGTGTGATTTAGATATTAACGAGTGTGAGATCGGCGCTCATAACTGCGACCGACACGCGAGCTGTACAAACACCGCCGGCAGCTTCAAATGCAGCTGCGCTCCGGGCTGGATCGGGAACGGGATCAAATGCACAGGTACAATGCTCGCTCGTGATCTGATGTGATGTGTTTGGATTGATGGGGGTCAGAGCTCTTTCCTGTTTCCTGTTTCAGATCTGGATGAGTGTTCTAACGGGACGCACCTGTGCAGCCCCAGCGCAGACTGCATGAACACCATGGGCTCCTACCGCTGCCTGTGCAAAGAGGGATTCACTGGAGACGGGTTCTACTGCGTCGGTACTGATTCACACACACACACACACACACACGCTCATTCACACACGTGATGTGGTGCCACTGTTAATGCGTGCGTGTGTCCTGTAGACACGGATGAGTGTGCGGAGAACGTGAATCTGTGTGAGAACGGACACTGTCTGAACATCGTGGGTGGATTCCGCTGTGAGTGTGACATGGGCTTCATCCCCACCGCAGATGGGAAGGCCTGTGAAGGTGAGAGACTCCTCCTGTCTGTCAGTCTTAACTGTCTATCTGTCTGTTTTACCTGTCTGTCTGGCTGTCCCGTCTGTCTATCTTACCTGTCTGCCTGTTTTACCTGTCTGTCTGTTTTACCTGTCTGTCTGACTGTCCGTCTGTCTATCTTACCTGTCTGCCTGTGTTACCTGTCTGTCTGTTTTACCTGTCTGTCTGTCTTTCTGTCTTACCTGTCTGACTGTCTGTTTTACCTGTCTGTCTGGCTGTCCGTCTGTCT